GACACGAAAAAAGACAAAAAGGAAAAAAAAAAAGAAAAAGTGTTTTAAAAAGCTTATTGTCCAAATGTCGATCCTTATGAATATGTAACTCAGGTGCCACACTGGAGCAAATCACAACTCTCCCACAGGCTCCAGTACTCAGAAAAGTACTCCTCTCTTAGATACTTTTTAAAATAAAATGTAAGTACATGATTATTTTAAAAGGCTCCAATCACTCTATCTTTTTTCCCCTTTTTTGTTCTTTGATTAAAAGAAATGACTCCCAGTATCTCCATTAAGAATTTTTAGCTTCATCAAAGCCCAGCACGTACCAGCGATGAATCTTTTACAAAGTGTTCGATTCTTCTCAGACAATTTCTCTCACTGGAGACTAGCTTTTCAAAAAGATGTAGCACTGCTTTTTCAAGGCTGGGAAGGTGCCGAAGCCAGAGGCAGACTACAGCCGATATGGGGAGAGAAATCTTCTTCCTTTAAGAAAGAAATAAACAAAATTTTAAATAGGAATGGGTTACTAATCGAAAATGATTAAGAAAGCTGCAAATACGGCTACTAATCCAATTTGTGAAATTACTTCTCCCCATGCTCATAGCAGCAGTTAATATTTATGGTTTTAGTGTATATTCACCAAGTGCTCGTTTGCAAAATAATGTGAATATGCTTCCACTTCCATGCACCTTAAGAATTAGAGAAATGCTCAGTAAAAAAGCCTTGCTTTCAAAAAGGTTAAGCAAATATACAGTGAAGGTAGAAAGAGAGAGTGATAAAAAAATGAGATGGAAAAAGGCCTTGTAATGTCCAAGTAAATACAGTCCCTAATTTAAGAAATAGTTATGTGTGAAAGTGCATCATAATGGTTTAAAGTATGAAATCAGACCTGGGTTTGAGTGCCTGAGCCACCACTACTAACGGTATGACCTTGAGAGAGTTACTTAACCTCTACACCTAAGTTTACTCACCTGTAAAATGGGCCTACCTACCTCATAGTGTTATTGTCAGGACCAAATACATTAACACATGTAAAGTGATTAGCAATATTTGCTTGGCACATAGCAAATATTCAATAACCATATTTGTAAATCTGTTGCTTGAAAGTTAAAACACATTTTTATTAACAATTTCATATATAGTGGTGTTGGGAAAATGGAACAATTTGTTCAGGCTCCCCTAACCTCAGGACTGGATAGGGGCGGTTTTGTAAACACTGTGTGTGTGGGTGGAGTAAGTGCGCCTGCACAGCGCCACTGTGGCTGGTGTTCACTCCCTCAGGTGCCCGCCCTGCATGGCCATGTTTTTCCAGACCTGCCACTTCCAAGGACCGTGTGGCCGGTTGCCTAGCTTATAGACCTGTGTGAAGGGGTCTGGTGACCCAGCCTAGCGTGTG